GCCCGCCGCATCCCGAGCCTGGCCCCATCAGATGCGCTGGCTGCCTCCGTCCGGGGCTGCGGGGTAGATGACGGTGGACAGCAGCATGAGCAGTGGGTACTGCAGCCTGGAGGAGGAACTGGAGGATTGCTTCTTCACTGCCAAGACCACCTTTTTCAGGAATGTGCAGAGCAAACATCCTTCGAAGGTAAACATAATACTACAAGCGCCTTCCATTGCCGGGAAATAACCTCTGTGGTCTAGAAGGGAAACCTTGCTCCTGGCAAACAGGCAAAGCCATGTCTTACCAGAGTGGGTGAGCAGTTGCCTTGGGGACCCCCTTGAACTTGTTGGCTGAGCAGACCAGGGATTTGGGATCTGGAAGGGATCTGGAGCCTTTCAGGGACCACCCGCAAACACTATTCTCTTTTTAATGCCCCTTTCGGCATTTCCTGTCCCTGGACCTTTTCAAAATGGCTCTCTAGGATTTGGGGACAGCGCTTGGCTTGTGGTTTGGCGGCATGCTCACCTGTGCCTGGGAGGGTGACCTTCCCCCAGATACCAGCTTTGAAGCTCTAGGTGGAAAGTGGATGGCACTCAGGCCCTCAGTAGGATAGACGTTCACAGGTCGAGACTTCCGTATTGCAAATGGCCAGAAACCATCTTAAAACACAGCCCAACAACTTTGCAGAAGTCCAGGGTGATTTTAGAAGCAAACTAAAACTGCTCTCCTGGGCGGCTGTCCTACACTCATTTTGCCTTCCTGGGTTAGTTGAAGGTAATCTAAAGGGGTTTGCATGTGTTCCCTAATGGGGTCGTATGTGCGTGACACCCAGCACGCCCGAGTTCCCTGGCCTCACCCTCCCAGTTGCAGCCATGTATCTGCCACGGATATGGTGGGAGTGGAGACAGAACTCTGTTTATTTATTTGTTTTGTTATTTAGGTGAGAGGTCCTTGGAGAGGTTGCCTCAAAGGGCCTATTTGTAGACAGAAGGGAGCTGTTAAATTTCACAGGGTTGTGCAGGCCCATCATTAATTTAGCAGTCCTACACCAAGTAGAATTAACCAAAAGCATCCCCAGACCTGACTCTGGGGCCTCAATGGTTAATAATTCATCTTGCCTGTGGGCCCTGAATTCGCTGGGTTCTGAAGTCAAACAAATGCACTGGACATTTTGATTGCGGGAGGACACCCAAGAATCAGAGGAGAGGTTTTGATTTTAGTGCTTGCAGGAATCAACTAAATAAATAAAGCAGACCCCTGGAACCAGCACCTGTGTCGGGGGCACCCCTTCATGAGGCTGGTGAGCAATGCTTGTTCCTTGTGGTTTGTGGCATGCTCACCTGTGCCTGGGAAGGTGACCTTCCCCCAAATTCCAGCTCTGGAAGCTCTAGGTGAAAAAGTGGATGGCACCTAGGCCCTTCATAGAATAAACATTCACAGGTTGAGACTTCCGTATTGCAAATGGCCAGAAACCAACGCGCAGTTTGGGGGCAGGGATAGGGAGGGCTCATGCAGAAAGCATGGCTGCAGAGGGGACGTGTCCAGCTCTCACTTTGGATCCTTGCCTCATTGTGTGGAAGCCCCTCCACACACACACACACACACACACACACACACACACACACACACACACACACACACACGA